AAATTTTGCAAAAGCTGGACAAAAAAAAACTTTTGTCCAGTTGACAGAATCATATTTTCTAGCAATGAAACCTACCTGGGCAACTGAAGGATAACACAGACTTCCACTACCACTATCAATGTAACAAATAACTGATAGAAAACTGGTACTTTTGGCCAGTACTTTAACTACTGCTATTCAGTGTGCAGTTCAGGTAGTGTATAAAATAGCAGCTTTTTATTACCTCCTCAGTTCCTCCAGTACTTGAACATACACATGAGTCACTATCAGAGTGCTGAAAAATAAGTACTGCTTCTATAGTAATTAACCATTCAAAACAAAATATAACATCTTTTGCATCGCAAAATATCCTTAAAATGTTGCCTTAAAACAGGAAGTAACAACCATGTATAATATAACATTTTTACTGGGGACCAATCCTATACGGGTATCGGATCTTGGCACTGATACTAAAAAAACAGCTGGATATCGGCTTTGCAATATTGGTTCTGCTGATATCCTGCTTGGACATATAAATTGATGTAATATAATTATTTACTGGTCATAGTTGGCCCAGAAAGTCTCTTAATGTTTGAACTTTTATTTATACAAAGTTCTTCAGCAGTTACTTGAGGGATAATTAACAGTTACACATTTGGATATGTGATTTTTGTTTAAAGGAAATAAATGTTGTTTTCAGTCTCTGCCCTGATATTGGTTAATTATTGGCTATCAGCAGATACTAAAATCAGCATTGGAACTGAAAAAGCTGGATCTGTGCATCTCTAGTTTTTACAACCTGCAATCGCTCTCCTTTACAGCTCTATTGCCTCTATTGCCTGTACAATTGAAAGAGATATAAGGTGTTGTTTATGTAGAAGTGAATCTGCCAGCAATATATTCTAATACAACCGCCACCTGAATCAACCCAGACAGTAAACAAGCATCTATATACAGTAATTTGACATAAAAGTTCTATGGTTAAAGGGCTTGTTGCATTAGAAAAGACACAGATGCAGTAATTGGTTGATAGCGACAGAAGTCTTGGCGAGAAACTGACAACTATAAGAAGCCCTCCATTCCTGTTGTGATCTTTCTCCACTGATGAATATTAAAGAGGATGTATTAAAGCACATTACCTGGAAGCGTCTGGGTAAAACACTGTGAGTTGTCTGTAATGGCACACTAGCTGCTCATCAGAGCCCATACTTGATAGGTATTATTATGAATTAGATACGCATGCATAAGGACAGAGTCGGGCGTGGGGGAGGAGCACAGAGTCTGATAATAATCGCCATTGTTTTACTAACTTCACTTGAGGGCAACCATTTGAAAAGAGAAAAAATAATCTACACACCACTTTCATAATTAGCATTTAAACTTGCCATAGGTTCTTAAAAAACACAACGGGCATGGTCATGAACGAGTTCTCATATACAGACGACTAAAATATGAATTGTTTGAGGGCTGAATGAGCGCTGTTTTTAATAAAGGTGTGCTAACATTATTGGTGGAGGCCAGGTCAGCAACCTTCGTCTTTGTTCTGAGATATGACTGGTTCACTAAGAATCTACCACATAGCATTAAACCAATTTATCTCCATGGAGATAGGCAGGTGACACCAGGCCAAATTATACGACAGATCTGTGGAGGCGATCTCCCTCACACTAAAAATGCATATTTTTCAAGGGAGCAGCAATATTAATACTGAACAAATGTAATATAGATATGTAGAAATAAAAGATATAACATCTTTTGAATGGTCATTCTATCAAGCATTTGTTTCTGCTTTAGTTTTTATAAAATTGCACCATTTGGAAACTACCAATTCACATGGAGTTTTGGCCTGATCTGACATTTCTGCAAATGCAACTATTACAGCTGCAATTACATCCAAAAAGAACAAAGGCAAAAAGCAACCAATAAAAAAAAAACATTTCCTCAGTGCCTTTGTAGCTTTACAGAGCTTCCACCAGGTTAATGTAATACTATTCTACACCATAGTAACATTTCCTAGAACAGGCATGTCACCTGCATGACTCCAGGTAAATCCCGTTTAAGTTAAAACCATACTTTGAAACATCCGCTATAGATTTACCTGGCTTTTATGGCATTCTGTGGAATACCATAGCTCAAGGAACATCATTTCCATGAACAGAAGCAGAGACTTTGTGGTTTGTAGAGATGCATGCCCACTTATAGTGAGGCCAGTGCAATAAGTGCAATAAGAACATTTTGTTATTGCACACAAGGGTGGAGCTTGTAGGCCACACAGAGGTGAATCACAGTCCAGAAGTCCATGCAGCTAGTAGCACTAAGCATCACCCTTTAGTTTTAATTATATATGAAGGATAGCTACACACTCTTGAGAATAAGTCTAGACACACCCTTCAACATGGATTGATCAACCCAGTGACTCTCAGGTCCAGTGCAGTCACATTCGGGCCACCCTCAGCTTCAGTCTGTCCCGAAAGAGAACTCGGCAAGGTGGGCCAATCTGTGTGCACCCAGCAGCCTCCCGAGAGGGGTGGAATTTCTGTCTGCATCAATTATTCAGCAACCATCTTAGATAACACTGGCAGGGCACGATGGATGAGGTCTATTTCTGTATAGTACTTCATAAGGAACATGGGAGTTTTTTTTTTACATTAGTGTCTGGTGGATATAACTAGTTCTTTCTGCTGGTACTTTATGTAGCGCTGGTAGCAGCTGAAGCATCTTTGAAAAAGGCTCTTAAGTCACTCCATGTTCTTGCTTCTTTCTTCAGCCCTTTCGAGAAGATCTAAAGGACACACTTGGCAAAGAAATCAAAGGTAGATCTTCAACAAATAGCGCAAATCCTTAAGAGAAAACTTGCCTGTGTCCAAGGTTTTGACAATAGACCGCTGTTTGTCATTCAACTTCCAGTTTCTGATTGCTTACATGGATTTGAAGTATTATTTCCCTCTAACAATAACTTAACTAGAGGTACACTTAGGAAACACTTGCTGCATTCTCTGACAAGTGTGTGTAGTGACAGCATAGCACTTCAGAAGGGACAGACGGCAGCAGCAAATCACAACTTTTCCTTGTCAAAACTATTTCCACAATATTGAGCGACTTTGAAAGCGCTGTACACTGGAGAGGGAGTGAAAAATAAATCTTTCAAGGAGTTCTATGTTATATAAAAACACACAATGGAGAAAATGTTTAACTGTTGTGTAAATGCCACACATTTCCAAACTTACAGAGTTATAGTGCCCAAAAACCCATATGGAACTTGTGATTTCTGTTCACAATCACATCACATTCTGAACAGGCTGCAGAAATTAGTTTTACACTGAAAATCTTCTGAACTGCAATATAGCTACAGTAAATTATGAAATGGTTCACACCCTGGAGCGTTAATCATCATTAACTACTGCAAATAAGTGGCACTAATGGTTATTACGAAATTGTTATCTAATTAGTTCTTTTAACCAGTCCACTCTGCAGATGGACATTTGACTGAGGGATGAAGGACATAACTATGTCTCAGCAATGTGCTGTACGTATTCAAATCTGAGAAAGTTACTATGGTAAAAACAGAAACTGTAGTTAAAATAGTAAAATGTTGATCTTTTGGGGGATAATATTTATTACCAATTCTAAACCACTGGTTTAAGGGGGAATACAATACTAGTAGATAATATAGGCTTTTATATTGCCACTTGTGTATGTTTAGCCTTAATTCTTGAGGCTTTTGAGTTTTATTTAATACAGCTCTTATCTAATTTGTACTTTTAACCAGTCCATTTTAAGATGGGCTAATTTTCATCGCAGGGAAGATTGGATATACGAATTAACAGTCTTTGTACAATGTGATTCAGTGAGTATTAGATCTTAAGCATGTAATTAGTTTAGAAGCCAATGTGCAGAGGAATGAAGTGCTCTGACAGTGCTTATTTCCCTGTGCATTTATAAACAGCTACGTGTGCTGCTGTGTGAGACTTGTTGTTTCTGCTCTTGCTGTTGCCTACATGTCAGAGGATCGGCGACATTTGATTTTGACAGAAGTGGCTGGTCGCGTACAGTTATTTCTGTCACGTCGTGCGCTGCAGGGAGCCGTCCTGAGCACTGAGTGTAATGCAGTGTGGGGGCGTATACTGGGGTCATACGTGACCCAGGGTGCTCCCTGGTGAACACGGTTCTACTACACTGATCCTGTCAGTCAGCCAGCCAGTCACTCGGGCGGGCAAGCGGCAGGAGCAGAGTGCCTGGCAGAGAGGCAGCGGACACACACAGATAGGCAGGCACCGGGAGATGGAGGCACTGAGACAAGTATTCCCCATAGTCCATCCACAGAACTGCTCAAATGATGCAGCATCTCTCAAGAGGGCCGGACAGCTCAAGGAGGACCTGGTGCCACAGCCACTGCAGCCAGGTCACTCTGTGTCAATTATCAGAGGTGAAATGATGACTTCAAAAGTGGAGCTGGAGGGGTGGAGGAGTTTCTCCTTAATATTAATGTGGTTCACAAATACACATTATTTTAAATGAGTGAAGTACACATTCAATTACCCATCTTAAACCATATTACATGTAAATTTAAAGTCATAAATCACCTGGAGTATTTGTCATTTGTTGCTTTCACCTTTGTGGTATGGAGCAGGAGAAGCAGTAAAGTGTCTGAATTACGGGTGTGTATAAACCAGCGTCACAGGGACACACTAGGTGGGGTGTTAATCCCTGACTAATGAACTCCGCCAGTAGCTTCCGCTGTGGCCTCCCTGGACACCTCCACCTGTGTGAGTGTGTATGTGCCAGGGTTAGAGCCACTGAAGAGGACAGGCTCCCGCTCCTCCAGCCTGACAGGCATAACTCAGCCACACAATTTCACGCTTTGTGGGCAGTACACGCCGCTGCCTTCCCCATCCAACCACCCAACCACCTGACGCCACCCGCACACTCAACCCTGCTATTAAGACTGAGGGAAAAAGACCAAATCAAAAATTAATCCCTCAACATACACCTGAAATTGAAAAAAATATGAGTGGACTTACCATTTTGTTATTGATTTCATGAAAATGAATTTCACAGACTTTCTCTACGATGTCCTCGCTCTCAAAAGTTATGAAACCAAATCCTATGCAGAGAAGAACAGAGGGGAGGGGGGAAGAGAGAGAGAGAGAGACAGTTAGCTTCAACAAAACTTCCAAAAGAAAAAGATAGATTATTATTATCACAAGCAGATTCAGAAACTATGCAAGTTCATTTTTGTAGATTGGCTTGGGCCTTGAAAAGAACAAGTGCACAAGACAGACATTGTCCTCTTTAAATCAGGAATATGATGAAATCTGCCACATTATTAAGGGCACTCCAAGACCTCTTCTGCAGCGAGAAGATGGAAAAACAGCACAAAGCTTTGTAATGAGATTCACCGAGCTAGGGCCCAGCATCTGAATTTCATTAAATGCATTTTGTGTTCTTTTTATTGAAATTTCACTGTATAACAAGCCCTCGTTTTTATGTTAATGCAGGACTCAGAATGAATGTGTCATTGACTGTGGGTTTTTTACGCCATATTTATGGGATAAAAGCTTAACCCCTCTTTTAACACAAAGACACAGACAAGATGGTTGCAGATTTTTGAACACGCTTTTTGATGGGGATGCACAAAGCAATTGAGCATCTTGTGTGGTCGAGGGCTGAAAGAAAAACTGATCTTGTATTACTTCAGCAAAAGAAGAAAATGGCACAACAGGAACACATTTAGTGAATAAAAAACCAAGTGTGGCTGCGAGAAGATGGGTTTCTTTAACAAAAAGCACCAGACGATGCACTGAAATCACTTCAGATAAAGCTTAAACACCAGTCAATATAAACAGCCCGCCATCTGACTTCCTCTTGTAGATGCGAACATGTACTATCTAGTATACAATAGAGACACTGCAGTGCTTAGAATAGTTTATGTAACCACAACTTGTACTCTGTGCTACGCTGTTCACTCAAAGTCACTTTACAATTCGGTACATTATTGATTCTCTCATCTGTTGAACTTGGTAGTGGTGAGCTGCTACTGCTCTGGGACAGACTGGTGAAAGGATGACTGTGATTGTTTATCATCAAGTCAGCTAGCCATAAAATTTGTATATCAGTGACAATACAAAGATTTCTTGAAAGTAAACCATTGGTCGCCATGTATACTGTGTTTGTATCTTAAGTTGCATTTTGGAGTGCCACAAAATATTTTCAAAACAAAAATCATTTCAACATTGACTCTCAGTAAAGTTCAAGTGTTTTCTGTCTCATTCTACTCTCCAGACCTGCTGCAGATAGAGTTTTACAAATCTTACTGAAACAAAATCTTATTGACATAGGCAGTTTATTTTCACAAAAAACTTGAAAACTTACTAAGGCAATTATGCTATGAAGCTAGCGGATACACAAACATAAACATTTTTGGCTTTATCTTCTACCACATATGATGCATTGTTAATTGAAATGTCCTGACATCAATTTTGCCAGTGCAATATAGATATATGAATATAAAATAACATAAATAACAAGTATAGTATATTTTATTCATACAGGCTGATTGATTTATTATTTAGAGGCAAACACATTTCCTCCTCTTCCAAAGTAATGAGAAAGTGTGCATATTAAGTGTCCTTAAATGATGTGCCGTTAGCGCTGTCACTCTTCTTCAAGTAACAATGGATGCTCCTCAAAGCGGAACATTCGTTGAGGGAGGACTTAGCACCTTAATGCTTCAGCTGATTAAACATGGACAACATCTAATAAGATCTTAGGAGACAGAATATCAATTTCCCAGTGTCTGACATCTCTACGTTGGGCTTGAGGCGAGAACATGCAACGCCAGGAAAAACAGGGTAGCGCGAGATAGATAGATGTGCCCTCTGCTCACCCTACCTTCATGCCAGCGTAAGGAGCACTTTTGACAACCAACAAATCAACCGCCAGGAGTCATTTGTCACGAAGAAGTGTCGGGGTAGAGAGGGGAGTAAAGTCTGTGGGGCGGGGGTAGGTGGGAGACTGGGGGAGAGAGAAAAAGTGACAAGGAAAGAGGTTAACACACATGGCCCCTGTCGCCAGGCTCCTTCCCTGCTGCTACGGGCGGCTCTTCCATCAACTGACAGGACATTTTCCACTGCACCATTATATCCTGTGGGGTCAGGGTTGGACCACGCCACAGATACCACCTACCACCAGCAGCCCCATCCCATCGCTCTCTTTCTCTGTCTCTTGGAAAGGACATTTTTGCAGCAGCTGTAAACTGCAGTTGGAATGTGTCCCATAGCCATCAAAAAGCAAACTTCCCCTTGTTTTTCTCTCCTCCCTCCCTCTTCGCAATCGTCCCCCTGTGGGCTGTCTGAACTTGTGGTCCTCTTGCTTGGCTATCCCATTTTACAGACCTTACGGACAATTATAGGCCACAAAATAGCACCGACCCGAGCCATACTCTTACTGCAGAATGTCAGCACAAAACCGGCTTTGTCCTCTTGTATCCTAGCATATTTTTCTCCCAGACGCAAGGATTGAGTTTGACCTCTATGAGACTATTAAAGCCTGTCAGCGCTGATGGACAGGGGGAAGAGGTGTCAACACTTGGGCAGAGAGGACCCTCCCTACAGCTTAAACAATAGGCTGTAAATGGAGGCACAAGGATGTCTGATGGTGAGGTTGATAATAGGTGTTGTGTGGATGGACTTGCTCCGGCCCTCTTGGCTACACTCGCTCACACTTATTAGCCAGCTCCGGGTGCGGCCCCCATCCCATCGTTCCACTAAATTGGCAGAGAGCCTACTTTCACGGCCCTTTACCAGCTTCATCATTCTGCCTCTTTATTTCACACTCATTGCAGGTTTTCTGCTTCTGTACACCGGTGTTTCTCAGCTGCCCACACAGCTCCAAAGCCCTCTCCAGTTACAAACAGTGTCCACAAAGACAACCTGGCAACTTTAGAGGTTATTTCAAGTCTCATAAAAACTATAATGTACAAGATTTATAAGCAAGTGTTAAATGCAATATAAATAGAGTTAGAGAATACAGACTTTTAACAAAATGATGTCCAGATCCAAGTTTAGTCCCAGAGAACAGTACACTGCTTAAATTTCTGTTAAATACTTTTATTAACTGATCTCTTATGACTACAATTGTACTTTCCAACATGTGATACAATCGACATGTGCAAAATTCCTCTATACTACACGATTATCCGAGGACAAATACATAATGTACACATTTATACTATAGTAAATGTAAGCAAGTAATCTACTATTTCAGTATATTGTTCTTTAACAAAGTAATTAAACTTTTAGACGAGGAGGACCACTCTTGAATAAAAGTGGAGCACACCTACTATGTCTATGGCAGGCTACCCCAGGTTCCCTAATGACTGTAGCTAAATATACTACTGAGGCACTGAGCTTATGCATTGTCATGGATATATAAGGCAGACACAGTGCTCATTAACTACACCATTCCAGGTAATGGCCAAAGATAAATGAGGGTAAAGGAAAGGAAGAGTGCAAGAGGTGTTTTATGCAAGTTTAAAGGTAGATAAGATAGCTTCTATGCAAATAATGGTATAAACTTCAGAAATCCAAAATTCCAATCAAACTGTGCCACAATTATGAGCCAAAGTCCAACAATTAGAGTAATATATTTGATGGAGATAATCACAATGAAATCTCACAGTGAAGAAATGACATTTTGGTATTTGATGTGCCAAGACTGTGGTAAGATAAAGATAAAGGTGGGGAGGTTTGAGTTCCAACTGCCTCTAATTGCTGAATTGCCCCTGAGTTTTGATCTATCACATTAGAATGAAAATAGATTGGTGTAGATGTAGCCTGTGGCATTTGATATTTTTCACTTAAAATTTTTAGCCCTCACCTCAAAATCCATTCTAGAAATCTATCATTTAAAAGTGACTTTAATGACAATTTTCTTTTGCCTTAACAGCTCCAAGTGCAAACTCTGCCAACACTTAATAAGGAAGGGAATTGATCCTCCCAGTCGTAGGCTCTACTATCATACCTCCACTTCGCTCTCCCACTTCCTGAGCAGAATAGCTTAGCCTGGCCTGATTAAGCCTGATCAAAAGCTCACCTGTCCAATCAAAGGAGAGACTATAGAAAGCCTACGCGGCGAGCATGCCCCGGCAGCCTCCCAGGCCTGTCTTCTAATGCAGAGCAGCGCACAGAGGCCGCGCCAACACCCACAGCACACTTAGAGCTCTTTGATCACTACTTCCGTCTGCTATTACCAGAGATCCACAGCCCCGGGCGTTAATCCCATGTTTAATACAGTTAGCAGCTCCACTCTCTAACCGCACCAGGCACATTTCACATAAAAAATAGATTTAGGTTGTAAAAGAAAAAACACTCACATAGCGGCAGAGCAATAAAAAAAGCATGTTATGCCGTATATGTTATTGGTTAATTTACAGAGATGAATCGCGGAGTGAGTTTAGGTCCCATGGGAAAGCAGTGATTCCCAGATCGCAAGTCAAAGCACAAGCGCGTGTAAAGTCAGAAACAAATAAATGTGACTACCTCTATGTGTGGGGGCCTTTGGGGAGCGTTGGGACAGACGGGGAAGATGGATCTACTAAGTATGGCTGTGGAGTGGGCCACTAGCAGCGCTGCAGTTGCAGATTCAGGGCTTAGTTTGAAGAGAGCATCATAAAACATTTGATTATGAAGAGATGCATGTCTGTGTACTCCCTGGGGCGCTGTGCTATAAGTAATATGGTGTAGTATGGAGAATCTGGTTTGATCTGGAACTGCTAGTGAATTGTGAAAACATAGGATTTACTTGCAAGCATGATCTTTTGATTTTGCTCACAAATTGGTAAAAAAAAAAAACAAAAAAAAAAAAACATGTCTGCTAAAATAAGCTCTACACAGTGAATGCACTTAAAAAACAAGTGTGATATCATAACATTTCAGGATTTGAACTTTCAAAAATGTTTATGGCAAGTAAAATGGGAAGACCAATTAGACCAATTAGTATAATGAGAAATGTAATGACTAATAAAGTGCCTAAGACAGATTGGACTACTCATTTTACTAAAACACAGTTAAGATCGTTACAGTTAAGATTTGTGAAAAAACATTC